GAACCATCATTTGACACTGGACTGCACCACCTCTCTTCAACTCAATCTTGCTCAACTCCTCAATCAGACATCTGACTCAATTGATTCTTGATCTTGATATCATCACAATTCAACTGTGTCACTCCAATTCTTCCATTATAAATGGAGGAAAAAACATTCACATCCTCCATTTGGAATGGAAAAATGGGTGGAGCTGGATGTTCCCAGCTCCACTAGAGATGGGCCCGGCGCATCCGGATATCCGTTTGGATTTGGATATCCGCTCACGTTTCAGCCAAATCAGACATCTGCATCCGCATCCGCATCCTCTGGCGGATACCCGCTTGCCCTGGCGGGTATCCGCGCAAAGGGGGCATCCGCACCCAAATCCGCACCTGCTGGCGGGTATCCGTTGGCACTGGCGGGTATCCGCCAGCGGATAACGGATATCCGCAACGGATTATCCGCCACCATCTCTAATCTCAAGGTTGCATGCTCAAGCCTCACTCTCAACAATATTACTGTCACCACTTCTATCAACAACAACAATCACCATCAACTTTAACCATTATACAAATCAATCAACAGCTTCATCTTGAACTATCCTCTATCACGATATATAAACTGCCAAGCTGAGCTTGATGGTCTTGTTGTTCTGATAGCATAGAAGAGCAGAGCTTTCACCTGCACCATCCCCTTCTCCATTCAGAAAAATTGTTCTAACAACCACTTTTGAGTCTTAAAAGGGAGTCCCCAACATGATAGGATAACCTTCAATTGACATTGTATAACCAATTTTAACAAATGTCAATAACTGCTAAACTCATTCTCATGATCACAAAAACTCATTCCTGAACTTACCCCATCACTTGACTAAAACTTTCCCAGCTGAACTTGATGGGTCTTGTGATCTGATAGTATAGAAGGGCAGAGCTTGTAACTCCACCATCCCCTTCTCCATTCAGCAAAAAGGATCTTACAACCACTTTTTGAGTCTTACAGTGTAGGCCCCCAAAAAGGGCCCACTATGCTGCGCTAACATGCTGGTTAGGGGAAGTTTGGCCCTTTAGTGATTTTAGAGGCCTGTAGTCTAGCAAAAATCTTCTGAAAAAGTGCTAGTGTTACAGGACTTTTTTAAAAAAAGTGCCGCTACACTAACATTTTTTGGGCAAAAAGTGTATTGTAGTGTAGTGTAGTGCACCATTGTTTCCTTGAGGGTCAGTATCATTACAATGCGTTCCAATGGAAAGCAAAGGTTCCACAAGCCCAAGCTAGACCTGCTGTTAATGTAGAGGATTAGTTCTACCAGTTAACACTACAAACAATACCAGTTTTGCCCCAGGAAAAAATGATGATTTGGGTGGTGGAAAATATATCAATTTCCCTGAGGTTTTTTACAAAATGACTCAGGAGTAAAAACTAGGCTAAAATGAGCTATTTTAGCCAAAAAATAAAAATGCCTCAAATGAGCTGAAAATTATTTTTGGAATGTTTGAGGCATTTTTATTTTTGGGCTAAAATAGCTCATTTTAGCCTAATTTTTACCCTCGAGTCATTTTGTAAACAATACTCAGGGAAATTGATATATTTTCCACCGCCCAAATTGCCATTTTTTACTGGGGCAAAACTGGTATTGTTTGTAGTGTAAACCAGCTGTTCATTTTTTTGTAATATATTACGTTTTCTTTTTAAATAAATATGACCTCAGATGGGTACAAAAGAAATTAAATAAGGGTCAAGAGGACCTAAATTCTTGATTTAGACTCACAGTGCATGAAGTGTTTTTTGAAGTGCGCAAAGTGTGACTGTAGCAGAAAGCACAGCAGTAGCACCAGAAAACTTCTCTGATAAGCTTAGCAAATTGGTTCCAAATTCACTATGCTTTTTCTAAACTGACTGCTTTGGTCAGCATGGCATTTGTACTGGTGCTGGTAAAGCCTAAAGGTACCATAATTATATCAATTTCTACTACCTCAGAGGAATTCAATGGCTTGATCTTTTTTTCCTTAGGCTATTTTCCTCACAGTAACATTTGAAATTAATCAATTTCACCTGCTCTGCCTTGGGATGTGACCAACAAGATCTCTTTCTCCAACAGTGGGTCATTATATACAGATAAACATATGTAATGTAAATTAACAAATATTGCTGGGCCTAATGTTGGTGTAGTGTAGTGTAGCAGAATTCTGCTGTATGTGAGCAAACACTACACACGCGGGGTACAAGAAATTTACCCATCATTCTGCACCACAGCCCTGTAGTGTCCTGTAGCAGAAAAGGACTAATTACACTGCAAATTTTGTGGGGCAAGAGATGTGTTGCTGAGCTAACACTAAATTTTGATGTAACAAAGTATAGCCTAGGGGCCTAGTCCAGTTGCAAACAAACAAACACTATCCATTTACACGTATTTTGGCACTGAACTCGAGTTCAATTCAAACTTTAATGTCACATTTTTCTGCTCCACCCCTTTGAAGTCTCAGGGTGTCACCATCAAATTATGTCAACATACTGACCTCAGCTTTCATTGAGGTCTAATAGGAGCTTGCCGCATGTCAACTGCTAGTAGTTACTGGAATTCTTCTTGTAGTGTTATGGCCCTCCCTAGAAATACCAACACTTATATACGTCGTAGCTAATAAACTCCCTAATATTGAAGGATCAACTCCCAGATATCAGGGACTTCCTGAGGACCATCAGCAAACCATCCTGAGACATCCTATCCCCCTATTTCCCCCCCCCCTCCCCCAATATTTTGGGAGTCAATCCTCCAAAGCTGTCAGTGGGTTTGGGAGTCAACAATCAAAAAAAATATTAAAAATCTTTGGGTGTTTGGGGATTCAATCCTCCACAACAACACGGATGTTTGGGAGTTGGCAAATCTTGACGGCCCTCCTGGCCATCAAGATTTGGACAGGCTCAGCGGCCAGAGGGAATCCTCCCAGCCACCAAAGTTTGCCCCCCCTCCCCAACAGCATGTACACCTCAACGGCCAGGAGTTGTCACTCTCAGCCACTGAGAGTGTACACCTCTCAGAAACTGGAGGAATCCTCTCAGTCACTGAACTGGAGGAATCCTCCCGGTCACTGAGAGTGTACAGCTCTCAGAGACCAAGGTGATTCTCTCAGTTGCTGAGGTTTGTACACCCTCAGCAGCTGAGAGGATTCTCTCAGTTGCTGAGGTTTGTACACTCTCAGTGGCTGAGAGTAACTCCCAGACATTGAGGTGTACCAGCTGTTTTTCCGGGGAATGATTTATTTTTTATTATTTTCATTTGGGAATTGGCTCCCATTCCTACTTTGGGGCTGGGGATGTCCTGGGACTTTCCCCAAGCAGAGTGAATCCTCCCAAGTTTGGGAGTCAATCCTCCCAAGTTTGGGAGTCAATCCTCCCAAGTTTGGGGATCAATCCTCCCAAGTTTGGGAGTCAATCCTCCCAAGTTTGGGGATCACTCCTCCCAAGTTTGGGAGTCACTCCTCCCAATTTTGGGAGTCACTCCTCCCAATTTTGGGAGTCACTCCTCCCAATTTTGGGAGTCACTCCTCCCAATTTTGGGAGTCAATCCTCCCAAGTTTGGGAGTCACTCCTCACAATTTTGGGAGTCACTCCTCACAATTTTGGGAGTCAATCCTCCCAAGTTTGGGAGTCACTCCTCCCAAGTTTGGGAGTCACTCCTCCCAAGTTTGGGAGTCACTCCTCCCAAGTTTGGGAGTCAATCCTCCCAAGTTTGGGAGTCACTCCTTCCAGGTTTGGGAGTTAATCCTCCCAAGTTTGGGAGTCACTCCTCCCAATTTTGGGAGTCACTCCTCTCAAGTTTGGGAGTTGATTAGCTAAGGCCCCACTTATAATGCCCGCCTTGTTTTAACTTGGAAGCCAATGTCAGCCTCTGGGTAACTAACCTGAGTATTTAGTACTAAAAGGTTGTTACTATGAGTTGACTGAAGTGTTTTGAGCGTGGTGAGTGTTAGGTAGTGGGTGATTAATACAAGTCCTGTAAAGAGGATGTTTCACTCTATCAGTATGGTCTTTACTGAGAGGCTTGCTATCAACAGCGCATCTGGATCAATACAAGGTATTAATAGGCATCCAGGGTACTAAGACTCACCTGGGATTAATTTGGTTATTCCCAAAAGGGAATGGGCTAACAATACTTATTAAGCTTTAACAAAATTAGTTGAAGATTAACAGGTATTGTTGATGGGAATATTCAGCAAGGCTATGAATACTGTGGATAAGTTGAGTAAGAGTACTGAAGCTTAAGAACAATAAATGTAGACTAGATTTTGCAAAAAAAAATATATATATAAAAAGTCCAATTTTTGGAAATTTGCTGCTTTGGTACATGAGGCTTTTAATCTCTCTTATGATCACTGGTCAGCTTCCCATCAGATCTGGGGCCCTCCCAGTTTTTGATTCAGACCTGAAAAGTCTAGATATTCATAGGGAAATCTAGCTTTTGAGGGTCTAAATTGAAACAGGGGGACCCACAGATTTTGACAGCAAGTCCTCCACTCTAGCCTCTTCCATGATTTCCCCCCTCCCCTTCCCCCCGTTTTTTTGTTATCTTTTCGTTTCTCTTTGATCAGTTTGTTATGTTCTCCTATTTGCTTTTCTCTGAATGAGTGATACTGTAGGTTTTAATCTGTTTGTTTGCAGTGTGTTTCTCTTCATTTCTGTATGAGATGCAGTTTTTATTTTATTTTTATTTTTTCAAATCAGCCCTTCATTTTAGAGGACCAACAAGGCTCGGATGGGCTTGTAAAAGCGGGACTCTGGGGTGATTCCCAATGATCATGCTTTCTTTAACTTGATCAGTTGATTTTGCAGATTAATTTATAAGCTGACTGCCACATTGATAAGTTAGTTTATGCTATGATGTTTTTGATTTCGGACGAGGATGGTTTGAATTGCAAGGTTGAGTATTTAGATTTTTTAAGTTTGGGATCGACAGTGAGAGACATAAATATTCCATTGTTGATCAAGGTCTTTTCCTCTTTCTTTCTTTCTCGATTCGGAAACTCGGATGGACTACTCGACAATAGGATCGACTGCCAGTCGAATCCAGCAGACCATCTTCAACAACCCAACCTCATCACCACCAACTCAGCACAGCAGACCCATCACCCGACATCCCTCAACCACCCTCAACAACCAAGCACAGCAGCCTGCACCATCGACACAGCAAACTGAAACCCAATCTGAAACTGATCACATCCAAGCTCAGGCTGACCAATTGGACCTACTCCAGATACTCGACCCAGCTGGTAAGCCCTACATCCGTCAAAAACTACGTCCAAAACTACAAAAACCAAAACTACCAAAACCAAAACTAACCTATCTAAGCCAAACAGTCAATGCTGCCTCAACACTCACCCACATCAGGAACTGCCTACTCATCCCACCCATGATCAACCACTACGGAACACCCAACATCCAACTAGAACAACATCAACACCACAACCACCACAACCAACTAGACACACACCTACTCTCCATCATCAACCATCCATCCGAAAAACCACCTCGCCGGCAACAGATCAAGAGACTCATCAAGGGATTCAAAGCATTCGTCTGCACTCCTATCGGCATCCTCTTCACCATCTATGGATTCCTCGTCGTCTTCTGGGTAACCACACAACTCGCATCTTTCCTTTCTAGATAGATTGCAAACTGACTCGTCTGATTCCAGGGAGCTGCATTGGTTTTGATCCTCCTCGGTTGGCTCAAAATCACCCCACAGAAGAATTACAGAATCTGGGTCGAAATCTGTAGTCAAGTCCTGAACGGCTTATTCACCATTCCAGTAAGCATAGTCTTTTTATACTCAATTTAGATCATTAACATCCCTGTGTTTTTTTTTCAGGGGATTGGCTTGTTTCCTAGTAGGATAATAGATTGTTGGAGTGAGTACATTCTTAAACAAAACAAAAACAATGGAGCAAGGCTAATCATGCACTCTACTAGATATTGCCATCATCTCATTCTATGCACGAGTCATTTGGAAGCGCCAAGGACGGAAGAACTTGGAAGACCCGAACCATCTGATCCCTCCCTACAAGCCGTCCCCATCTCCACCACCACCTCCCCTTCCACCACCGCCTATCAACACAGATCGTTCGTCGGCCGATTCGGTGATTAATGGAATACCTCCAGCTCATCATGAAGAAGCAGAAGAAAAAGAAATCCATCAAGCAGAAGAAGAAGAAGAGCGAGTCGAGTTGGAGCCCCAACATGATGATAATAGCGATGATGATCAAGACGATGGGGATTGCAGACCGGGTCAAGTCATAGTGGTCCATCCAGAAGAAGAAACAGAAGAATATAAGGAAGAGGATGTGGATGTGGATGTGGATGATGAGGGAAGGGTGGGGCTGACGGATGTGTGGAAAGAAGCGCAAGAGATGGTGCTGAACGAGACCGAATTAGACCGACTCCGCGCGGCCCAGGAAGCACTATGTCGTTCCCAGACCTGGTATCGTCCCCATTCATCAGCCACCCATTACGTCCGTCTCTTTCTCTCTTTTGCTCTTCTTTTAAGGGGTATTTTTTTGGTCCTGAGATTCGGATGTTTTTGGATAGGCTTTTCCGGTCAACGCCGCTCTCATCATCGTCGCTCTTAACCTCGGTAACTCGCTCTTTCAGGCCGCTTTGTGCGCCGTCATGTGGGGCCTGAGGTACAGTACTAGACCCGCCGTATGTCTTCTCTCTCTCTTTCCTTCCTTTCATTCACTCTCTTGTTATATCAGTACTTTGCTGAATTTCCTTTTTTGTTTTGGTTGTCGTTTTTTTTTTTTTTCCTAGTGGACTACTGCTACGTTCATGGCTTTATCATTTTCGTGTGGCATAACCAGGTAAGAAGCACAAAACACACACACACATTATACATATATACCAGCATTCTTCCTTTTGATATAAACTGAGCTTTTTTTGTTCTTGGATAGTGGGATCTTGATCTGGCGGATCGGATTGAAGACGTCGAAGAAGACGAAGGTGATTCGCGAAGTGAAGAAGATGATCCGAGGCCCTCCATCGACAAAGAAAAACAACGAGAAGAAGAAGAAGGAGGAGAAGGAGAAAAACACGGATCAAGGTCCCGAAGGAGAAGGCCTAGGAGTGGAAGTCGTAGTCGTCGGCGTAGGCGTAGGCGTGAATCGGATCATCCCACGCGCCCGTCCGCCTGTCCATCACCAACTCTTCCAAGACCCTTCCGACCCCTTCCCGCATCCCACTGTCATCCCCGATCCCCGTACCTCTCTCCTCACCAATCCTCCCTTCTCCTCTTCCTCTCCTTCTCCTTCGTCTCCGTCTCTTGCCTTTCAACGTCCTTTTCGACCTCCTCATCCTTGAGGTTCCTCACCCCGAATCCGAACCCGAATCATCCGGATCTCTCTCTTCTGGGCATCCCTCGCTTCTACTCTGCTTCCCTCTCTTTTCAACCGCATCTTTATCTATGTATTCAAACACTGAGACTCGATCCTCGCATCCTCCTTCGCAACTTAACATTACCTCGTCAACCTTGTTCGTCTTTCTTGCCCCCCCCCCCTCCCGTCTCTCTCTTCTTTCTTTATCTAAACATCTTTTGTTTTTCTTCGTTCGGAATTCTTCTCTATACATAGTTATATACACTTTTTGACCCATAGATCATCTTTGTTTTCGGTCAGATACAGTTGTGTAGATCTCGCCAATTCTCTTTTTTTTTCTTGGTCTTGATTTACAGAACATAATATATTTATATGTATCTTATGGAAGTTATGTTATATATATATAAGTTTTGATTTAATGTGATGGATTTATCTTTGTATTTCTTATGTCAGTCTAGAAGATGCTCGTTCCTCTTCACCTTATTTTTTTTGGCCTTGTTAAGATCCTTCTTCTAAGATTATCATATACGTCATTCTTCCCTCCTTTGTTCTTTCTTCTTTTTTGGTTCACTGGCTGGTTGGTTGGTAGCAGGTTGAAACTTATCATCATCATCATCATCACATAGTTTTTTTTTGTATGTTTCAGTGGGTTTTTTTGTATGTTTGAGTGGGGTTTTTTGTGTGTGTGAATGTTTTGGAGATGTATCTTGCGCAGTTTGTGTGTGTTTTGGTATTTTTGATGTATGTATCAGTTTATGTTTTGAGTCAGTGATCATATGTGATGATCATCTTCAATCATATTCCTCAATTTCAATAGACCTCACTAGAAGTATAATACCAGTTCATCAATCACTCATCCTCTTCCCCTTTCCCCTCCCCTCCTTTTGTCTGCACTGATACACTCTCAAAGAATAATAATGGGGGTTCTGATAAATGTCAGTCCCAGGGTTGCACTGTCATTCAACATAGGGAGGAGGGGGCAATCAAGATTGATAAAGACAATTTCAAGGTGTTTCATTGGAGGACTGGAGGACTTCCCGTCAACATCTGTGGGTCTCCCAGAGTCGGTTTAGAGCCTCGAAATTAAAATTTCTCTGTGAGAATTAAGAGTTTTCCAGTCTAGATTGACTTCTGCCAACGATGAAACGATGCGATATGATGCGATAAATCGCCATGTATCGGTATCGCATCGTTTTAGCGATACCGATGCGATGCATCGCTTAAGCGATGCAATGCATTGGTATCGCATCGCAAACCCGATGCGATACCGATGCATTGCATCGCTTAAGCAATGCGATGCATGTATTTATCGCCTGTATCGGACGCATTGGGTCAAAAGAGCATGTGTATTTTAAAAAAAAAGAAGGATGTAAAAAAAAAAAAAAAAAAAAAAGAATACTAATGGAAAATTAAGAAAAAAAAGGGCCTTAATAAAAAAACGCGGTTTTTCCGCGTTTTGACGCGGTTTTGATGCGCCGCAGCACACGCGGTTTCCGCTTTTAGACGCGGTTTCGTAATTAATTTTTTATGGGTTATTTTTTGACTTTTTTTGAATTTTTAAAGTTGTTTCCTAGGTTTCAAAGCGCGTAGAATTTAATGGTAAAAACCATTTTCCATAAAAATGAATTTTGATTATTGATTTTTTTTTCCACTTATTTTTCAATTAATTGTTTGCATGCATGTATGTACCTTATTTTTTATGCTTTTTTGGAAATTTTAAAATTATTTCCTAGGTTTCAATGTGTGTAGAATTTAATGGTGCAATCCAATTTTTTTAAAACTCAACGGTTCATTTTTAATACTGAAATTAGACCCATTTTTTCACTTAATTTTTTACAGCTTAATTCTCATCATTTTTTGACATTTTAAATTTATTTCCCACACTTTAAGACATGTAGAAAATGATGGTAACAACCATTTTTCCCCAAGTTGAAAACTATACCTTGAATGCTGCATTTGACACGTTTTTTTAATTAATTCCTCACTTTTTCACCTAATTGTTTGCATACATGTGTGTACCTTATTTTCTATGCTTTTTTGAAATTTTAAAGTTGTTTCCTACATTTAAAAGTGTGTAAAATTTAATGGTAACATTCAATTCCCATAAAACTCAACGGTCCATTCTGGATACTGTAATTAGTCATATTTTTCAATTGATTTTTAAGAGCTTAATTTTCATTATTTTTTGACATTTTAAATTTGTTTCCTACACTTTCAAACATGTATAAAATTATGGCAACAATGAATTTTCATCAAAATGAAAACTATATCTTGAATAATGCCTTTGACGTGTTTCCTGAATTAATTCTTACACGCTCAATTATCCTTATTTTTTTGAATTTCAAGCTCATTTCCTCCACTTTTAAAGGTTTCAAAATTGATGGCTGTATCCATTTTGCATTCAAATAAGATTTGTATATGGTACAAATTATGCAAGAAACAGGGTACGCTCATCTATTAAGATTGAAGCTTGTATTTTGAGTGAAATTGGACTTCACCATTCAATTCTAAACATTTGTAAATGTAGGAAATAAATTTAAAATAAAAAAAAATGCTTAAAATCAGGCCGGTAAAAATCAATCCAAAAAACATTAAAAAAAGCCTGTCCACTGCAGTATTCAGTAACAAGCGCTGATTTTTATGTAAAATGGTTGTTACCATCATTTTTATCATGTATTAAAGTGTGGGAAATAAACTTAAAATGTCAAAAAATATTGAGAAATAACATGTAAAGAATTAATTGAAAAAAGTGTCTAGTTTCAGTATTAAAAATGAACTGTTGAGTTTTAAGAAAATTGGATGTTACCATCAAATTCTACACACTTTTAAATGTAGGAAGCAACTTTAAAACTTTAAAAAAGCATAAAAAATAAGGTACACACATGTATGCAAACAATTAGGTGAAAAAGTGAGGAATTAATTAAAAAAACGTGTCCAATGCAGCATTCAAGGTATATTTTTCAACTTGGGGAAAAATGGTTGATACCATAATTTTCTACATGTCTTAAAGTGTAGGAAAAAATTTTAAAACGTCAAAAAATAATGAAAATTAAGCTGTAGAAATTTAAGTGAAAAAACATGTCAAATTTCAGTATTAAAATTGTACCATTGAGTTTTGAAAAATTTGGATTACACCATTCAATTATACGCACATTAAAACATAGGAAATAAATTTAAAATTTCAAAAAAGCATAAAAAATAAGGTACATACATGCATGCAAACAATTAATTGAAAAATAAGTGGAAAAAAAAAATCAATAATCAAAATTCATTTTTATGGAAAATGGTTTTTACCATTAAATTCTACGCGCTTTGAAACCTAGGAAACAACTTTAAAAATTCAAAAAAAGTCAAAAAATAACCCATAAAAAATTAATTACGAAACCGCGTCTAAAAGCGGAAACCGCGTGTGCTGCGGCGCATCAAAACCGCGTCAAAACGCGGAAAAACCGCGTTTTTTTATTAAGGCCCTTATTTTTCAATTAATTGTTTGCATACATGTTTTTACCTTATTTTTTTATGCTTTTTTGAAATTTTAAATTTATTTCCTAGGTTTTAATATGCGTAGAATTTAATGGCGCAATCCAATTTTTTTAAAACTCAACAGTTCACTTTTAATACTCAAATTACACCCATTTTTTCACTTAATTTTTTACAGCTTAATTCTCATCATTTTTTGACATTTTAAATTTATTTCCCACACTTTAAGACATGTAGAAAATGATGGTAACAACCATTTTTCCCCAAAACAAAAACTATACCTTGAATGCCGCATTGGACACGTTTTTTTTAATTAATTCATCACTTTTTCACTTAATTGTTTGCATACATGTGTGTACCTTATTTTTTATGCTTTTTTGAAATTTTAAAGTTGTTTCCTACATTTAAAAGTGTGTAAAATTTAATGGTAACATTCAATTCCCATAAAACTCAACGGTTCATTTTTAATACTGAAACTAGACACTTTTTTCAATTAATTCTTTACATGTTATTTCTCAATATTTTTTGACATTTTAAGTTTATTTCCCACACTTTAATACATGATCAAAATGATGGTAACAACCATTTTTCATAAAAATCAGCGCTTGTTACTGAATACTGCAGTGGACAGGCTTTTTTTAATGTTTTTTTGATTGATTTTTACCGGCCCGACTTTAAGCATTTTTTTTAATTTTAAATTTATTTCCTACATTTACAAATGTTTAGAATTGAATGGTGAAGTCCAATTTCACTCAAAATACAAGCTTCAATCTTAATAGATGAGTGTACCCCATTTCTTGCATAATTTGTACCATACACAAATTTTATTTGAATGCAAAATGGATACAGCCATCAATTTTGAAACCTTTAAAAGTGTAGGAAATGAGCTTGAAATTCCAAAAAATAAGGATAATTGAGTGTGTAAGAATTAATTCAGGAAACACGTCAAAGGCATTATTCAAGATATAGTTTTCATTTTGATGGAAGTTCATTGTTACCATAATTTTATACATGTCTGAAAGTGTAGGAAAATAATTTAAAATGTCAAAAAATAATGAAAAATAAGCTGTTAAAAATTAATTGAAAAATACGACTCATTACAGTATTCAGTATGAACCATTTAGTTTTATGAAAATTGAATGTTACCATTAAAATCTACACATATTCAAATGTAGGAAGAAACTTTAAAATTTCAAAAAAGCATAAAAAATAAGGTACACACATGTATGCAAACAATTAAGTGAAAAAGTGATGAATTAATTAAAAAAAACGTGTCAAATGCGGCATTCAAGGTATAGTTTTCATTTTGGGGAAAAATGGTTTTTACCATCATTTTGTGCATGTATTAAAGTGTAGGAAAAAAATTTAAAATGTCAAAAAATGATGAGAATTAAGCTGTAAAAAATTAAGTGAAAAAATGGGTGTAATTTGAGTATTAAAAGTGAACCGTTGAGTTTTAAAAAAATTGGATTGCGCCATTAAATTCTACGCATATTAAAACCTAGGAAATAAATTTAAAATTTCAAAAAAGCATAAAAAATAAGGTAAAAACATGTATGCAAACAATTAATTGAAAAATAAGTGGAAAAAAAAATTAATAATCAAAACTCATTTTTATGGAAAATGGGTTTTACCATTAAATTCTGCGCCTCTTATAGTGTAGGAAACAATTTTAAAACTTCAAAAAAACTTGAAAAATAAGCCATAAAAAATTAAATAAAAAACCGCGTCAAAACGCGGAAACCGCGTGTGCTGCGGCGCATCAAAACCGCGTCAAAACGCGGAAAAACCGCGTTTTTTTATTAAGGCCCAAAAAAAATGAGCATCAAAATAAAAAAAATAGGAAACAAGTAAATAAAAAAAAGGGGAACAAGTATAAAAAAAATTGGAAACTCAATGAAAAATGGCCATCTTAATTAAAAAAGCAAATGGAAAGGAAACAAGTAAAAAAAATAGAATGGAAAATTAAGAGAAATTGAGCATCTTAATTAAAAAAAATTGGAAACATATAAAAAATAAAGGAAAATGAAGAAAAATTAAGCATATTAATTAGAAAAAATAGGGAAAATGTTAATAAAAAAATAATCGGAAATTAAGAAAAAATTGGCACATACTATGAGCCAATAGGAAAAGAGGAAGGAAAAGAGGTCAACATAAAATAATCATAGTATAATGAACTATGACTGGCAAAAAAAATTAAAATAAGAATAAGCAGAAATAATTAAGAATTTAGCATCTTAATTAAAATTTCATATGAATAGAAAGAATTAAAAGTAATAAAAATGGAAACAAAAAGTTTTTTTTTAGAAATAATTAAGAAAATTCACACATAGAGGAAAACAGGTGATGAATACCTAAAAAATATCCCAAAGACATAATCATCTGGGTGTTTGGTCCTTGTTTCGCCTTGCTTTCTCAGCCATTGCCTGGGATACTACCTTTTGCACAAGTTCAAACTCGCCATTGGGTTTAATTCCTTGGACAAGCCATTGATGAGAGCTGACACTCCACTCAATGGTTCAAACACCCAAGCGGCCTCGGTCCGGTCCACATATGTCCGCAGCTGCCGAAAAACATCGCTCCACCGAGGCTGAGGTGGAACAGCAAGCAAGATAGTCCCTTGCGAGAAGGGACAAGACGGGGAACTCTTGAGAATTTTCCTAAGATAAGATATAATATCATTGTCAGTTTGGACCAACCATTGGGCTAAGATAAATACATTACAGAAGATCTTACCTTCCACCAGAGTAAGCACTTGGATGCCTGAGGGTGGGGCCACTTATATTTGCCCCCAAGGTAAACCGTCAACTCATCCTCTGGGGACGTTTCAACCGGATCTGGGAAGAATTCGATGTCGTCAAATTCGCGAACTGGGTCGTGGGTTGATTGCTTGCCAGCTTGCGTGTTGACCTGTGGCGGGGTGCTGGCTTCGTACTCAATCTTTTGAATGATGAACTTTTCTTGAATCAAGTTCCGAGCGCGAGTCAAGTCTGAGGGAAAGAACATGTTGAATATCGAGAGGCGGTAACTGGGATTGAGAATCGTGGCAAGCAAAATGGCGTCACATTTCAAGGCTTCTGAGAGATATTTGTCGGTTCGGTCAAGCATCTTTGTGGACATCGGGTGAAAGTCGGCTTCGGTTGTCAATGTCATCTTCTTGTTGAGCAGAGCTTTGATGTATCTGTATTCCGCGAGTATCATCCCAGCTGAGGGGATATCACCTTCCATCTTCTTAGTTATGAAGTAAAACTCGCTGAGAACATCGTTGAGCCGTTTGACATTGTCCCAGTCCGCTCGAGTAATCTCGGTATCATCGTAACAATTGTCGCTCCCTTCCTTTTCATGTCGATCTTGTTCATTATCAATCAGCTTGTTGATGACTTGTCGCGCCTGGTAAGCTCGGTCTCGGCTGATAAATTTGATATTCCATCTGATGCCATACCCTGCAATCAACGATGGTCCATCGTAATCCAACTTCTTTGCCCAAGTGTCAAACTCCGACCGTCGAGCTGCTGAGGAGGTGATCTTCTGAATGACAAAGTCGACTTTATTGAAGCTCAGTTGGGCCAATGGTGTTTGGCTGTTTTCGCTGTTGTTGGATACTTCATTGTCCTCATCATCGAGGTCGTTATCCTTGGGGTTGGGTCCAAAAACCACATGCTCCTCGAAGGTATTGGGATGGACTGGATCTTCGGGTTCTTCAAGGACAGGCTCCAATCCCGGGACAAAGCCAAGGGTAGATGCTTTAGTCTTTGTGAGGCCATCCGTATTGACCGATATTGCCTTGAGTCCAGCGGTGAGGATCAGACCAATCTTATGGCAGAAGCATCGGATGTGGTTCTCGGATAGCTTGAGCTTGACTCCTGTTTTGATTTCAATCATACGGTCAACTTCTGTTACCATGGTGCCATTGTTTGAGCCGGAGTCGGTAGTCTGGGCTAAGATGTGAATGAAAAAATAAAAGAGCCAAGTTAAATCACTGGCTGAGAGACAAGGGGTCACAGAAGAAAAAAAAAGAGGAGGAAAGACTTATCTTTTCTTGAAGATCTGACTTGATGATGACATTACAAAAGGGGATTGCTAAGTTCTTACCCTTGTGAGTCCAGGCGATGAACTTCAATCCAAGATGGGTGATGACAAACTCCCAATTGTCCGTCACGTAAGCCGCGGCCATTCCCATGAATGCATGTCGGTTGCCTTTAGTAGTCCAAACGTTGTGTATGAGGGTTATTTTTGATTTAATATTCTTGAACAAAAGTAGAAGAATAGTCAGCCATAGGGGAAAAATGGAGGTTCAGAGGAGGAAAGAGAATGATACAGATAATCAAATGGGAGATTGAGATATCATACCTGGAGCCTTGATATCACAGTAGCCTGTAAGTTCAGATAAATCTTGAGCGCTTCAATTGCTGCCCACACACGGCTGAACAGTTTAATACCTTGCTTGACGTAATTGAATGCAATCTCGAGTAGTTCATCCTCCATTCGGCACCACGGCAAAGAGTGCCGGATGAGCCATAGCACAAGGATCTGATTGAGAGTTTTTTGGTCGAACTTCTGAGTCATCATTACCTTTGGGCTACTTCCTTGGTGGCATTCGCCTTGATTCTTCTCCATCTGAGTCGTAGGTAGCTTGGCGCCGGCGAGTATTGCTTCACCTCTTTTTGGACACGGATTTCGAGACTTGTTTCCATCGCGGTGTAAGACTAGATTACCTCGTGTTCCTTCAGCTTTCTTGTAGGTCCCTCCACACCAACGACACTTGTAATGCATTGGGGTGCCAGAGGAATCCTGAACATCCAAGAGTTGCAATCAGTTGTGGCCCCTTGGATGCAACAGAAAAAAACACAACATTCAAAAATCACTTACTTCACCATCTGCAAAGACTGGGGGATGAAAGTAGTCCTCCACAGCGTCGACATCGGCATCCACGTCTTTGCGACCTCGAGCCTTGCGTCTTTTCACAACCCTTGAGTTTTCCTCGTCTGAGTCTTGGGTCATGTCCATTATAGTCTGAGGCTGGTCAGAGTCGGCTTGCGAGTCGTCCACCTCCAGACGACGTTTTCTCTTCTGAGGCTGGGATGCAGCTGAAGGCTGAGACTTCCTACGTGGTCTTGATGATCTCGTCCCTTGAGATTCAGACACCCCTTGGCGATGGGCTGAAGTTGGAGCCTGAGGAACAGATTTTCGCAAGTCACCGCTAGTTTGAACAAAGTTGGGATTCCGGACAGGGGTGGTTATGCGGGTAGAATGTCGGGCTGGAGTGTTGAGGCGGGTAGAATGTCGGGCTGGAGTGTTGAGGTTAGTTGACTCGCGAGAATGTCCTCTGGAGGGGGTCTGGGGAACGGAAGAAGTGGACATGATTGATTGAAAGATAAGAGAAAGAGGCGAAATTCAGATGGGGGGTAATTATGAGTCTGAGAGGTGACCCAAGTGCCAAAGCGAGCGTTACGAGCCGTCCAATTAGATCACGAGCGAGCGTTTCAATTAGATCACGAGCGAGCGTTTCCACAAAATCACGAGCCGCTCAAGAAAATCACGAGCCGTCCAATTAGATCACCAGTGGTGACAGCACGCCAACGTTCTGTCTATGCACACAAATTAGAAAGAAAAAATTAAAATAAAGCAAACAAGCAAAGAATAGAATAGAAATGCCTTGGGGCCTTTGAGAGTATAAAAGAGAAGACTCACATTCAAAAATGGACTGTGTAGCAAATTGACCCAAAAAAACAAACAAATTAGCTCACTGTTAACTCACATATTGAGAGTAGAAGACCAAAAAAGAGAATACTCACAAATTATTAAAATGAATAGGTGGAGGTGTGATGGTGGTGAGAGGGTGGGGTTTGATGGGTGTGAGGGGAGGTGGTGTGATGGTTCAGTGAAGAATGAGTGATGTTTGTGTGGTGGAGCTGAGCTTGTGAGTGGTGGAGGCTGAGCTGTGATGGTTGGGAGAGGATGTGAATCTGAAGCAGAGTGGGGGGGGGGGGGGTAGCAGGTGGAGGCTGGTGATGGTATAGTTGTGAGATGTTGTGAATCTGAAGCAGAGTTGGGGTGGGGGAGGCTGGTGATGGTGGTGTGGTGATAGGTTGTGAAGATGAAGCACAGTTGGGGGGGGTAGTACTAGCAGGTGGAGGCTGATGATGATAGGGGGGTAGCGGTGATGGGATTATAGCCTTAGGGCTGGTTGTTTTTGGGTGCTTGGTGTTTTTGGGTTTCTTTGGATTGGTGGGTACCTTTGCTTGATAGCGGTGAAGCGATAGCGGTGAAGCGAGGTTGAGTCCTGATGGCAGTGAACGACCGTCGAGGGGAGTTCATCCGAATCGATTTGATTCCAAGCGAGGTGAATCGAGTTCACGAATTGTATTTGAGTCCGAGTCGACTCCGAGTCGCTGTTGAGTTGGTCAGGATTGGGTGGCGGCGGCGCTTACGATCCGTTTCTTCGTATTCGTTGCTTGCAAGTTGGACTCGGACTGGAGTCGGAGTGACTCGGGAGTCGGAGTCGGCCTTGAGTGAACTCAGGACAAAGTGACACGACAAACCCTCCTGAGTCCCTCCTCATGTCAAGGGGCTCCGGAGGGAGGTTCAGGCGATGCGTGCCGATAATATCGGCATCGCCTGCAAAATATTGGCATCACATCAGTAAACAGATACGATGCCGATTCTCCGCATCGGTTTTTCCGATGCGGACGATGCGATGCGGGGCCCCGCATCGCTCACTCCGATGCGATGCAATGCGATGCCGATGCACGCATCGCATCCGTTTCATCGTTGCTTCTGCAAGGGTCCCAGATCCAACGGGAAGTCCTCCACTTCCTGTCTTGATTTAGAGAGCTTTTTAGAGCCCTCTATGTCCACATTTAGAACTCATTCACCATTCTCCCACCAGCTCACATGAGAGCCATCGCTAGAAGGCTTCTGAAAAACCCTGTTTTTTTTTTATATCAAAGATTTGGATCCAATTGGGGGTGTAAATTGGCTTCTGGGAGGGCTGTAGATTGTGACAGGAGGCGATCCATTATCAAACTTTCTGAAAAAACAAAAACGTTGTGCTGATTGGAGGCCTTCCCATCAAATTTACAGCCCTTGTATTTGTTAATTCAGATACCAAAAGTCTACTTTTTTTGCAGGAGATTCAGCTATATATAACAGCCTGTAATTCTGGCTTGACATCAGGGACTGCAAACTCAAAGCAAAGTCCCCCATTGTCCAGAAAGCTTCCTATAAAAATGTAATTGATATATGGTCCTGCAGTTCAAACACCGATATTGGTTTTTGGATTCAGGATTGTTCCCTCCAAAAACTTGTCACATCACTTGAGTTCTTCATGGAGCCATTGCAGTCACTGCAAATGTGATTATATCAGATTCCCACATCTGGCATTACATCAGATGAAAAAATCTGATTTTAGATCAGGCAAAACTGGTACTATATCTATCAGGAGTGATATTATATCTACCTAGAATTATGTTATATCTATCATAACAGATATTGCATCAGCCCAACCTATTTAATGTCAAAATAACTGATTTTATATCAGATTTTTTACATCTGATACAAAAATTTAGCCCATGGGCATTAAATCAGATAGAAAAATCTGATATGAATTCAGTTATGCTGAAATTGAATAGGCTGGTCTGATGCAATATCTTTCATGATAGACACACTATCATTTTAGGTAGATATAATATCAATTCTGGTAGATACAATCCCAGTTTTTCCTGATGTAATATCAGATATTTTTATCTGATGTAATGCCGGATGTAGCAATCTGATACAATCACTTTAGCAGTGAGTTCTGCAGAGATTATAATGTGGAGGAGGCCTCACCAATATATCAGTGCAGTAATCTCCAGGGATGTAACTTATCAATCAACCAACCTGTACTCTACCACCTCCTCCTCAAATATTTGCCTGGTTTAGACTTCATGGAAAACACCCTTTGTAAATACAATGTCAATCAACCTGTAGTGTACTTATCTGTGGCCTGTTTTATCTCAAGGGCAATTGTAAGATATTGGCCTGATACATAAGATGGAAAAACCAGGACGATGATTCTTACAGTTTCAATGTTTGAGTGATGTCTGCAAAACGATATTGTGACATAAATTAACAGATAAATGCATTTTCTGGGTACCATTTCATAGCAGTTACCCCCTGCCACCACCTGCCTTTCTCTGTTGGTGACAGGATGGGTTACATCAATCCAATTCAAACAAGCTGGGAGTTGGGTCAGAGGAAAGGAAAACAAAAAACATCTCTGAATATAGACTTGGATGGTCCAACCCCCTAGGTGGCATATGGTGGGCATAGTCAGACTTTCCTCAGGATGGACTGGGCTATCCATGGGTTAACCTAAAAAGATGTTTACTCAAAAGTTTGCATTCTATTTTCACTTGCTTATCTTTCCTCAATTGAATCCGCACAGAAATCAAATTTCTGATGGAACATATTGGTGCCTGCCAATCATAACCCCCTTCCCCCACTCAGAAAAAGGCCTTTTGCAATGTTATTGAAAAAAAAAAAAGAATCAGAGGCCCATGGGTTAATCCATTACTATTTCAGATGTTTCATGAATGTGACCTGACCCCCCAACCTGCCCCATCCCTTTCAAGGTTGTTATGGGTTTGTATTTTCACAAAAACACCTCAAACCATCCTCACCCCTGAGCCCTATAGGCTATGTCACATGATTACCTAAAATTAAGAATACTGCAAATGTTTGTAACAATGAATGTACAAGTGAAGACAGGTCTTGTTGTGACTCAAAGGATGCATTCACACTAGCTGATTTGTTTCAAGGTTTGGAATCAATTGTGATACACTCTCAAGCAGTTCAAATTCAATAAAAGGCTGCCACATCACAGCCATCTTATAACCAACTTTCAAGCCCATCAAGCTTACCTTTCATATTTATTTTTGGAATGTTGGCCCAATTCATCATCATTCTAGGTCCCATTTCAAGTTCAAGTTTACAGAGGCCTCCTATACTTCTGAGGAATGATGGGATGGAGATGAAGGGTGTCCATGATACCAGTGGTATGTAGTATTGCCATAAACCATAATCCAATACGACATGAATTATTACCACTCTGTCTCCTTAGACACTGATTTTTTCTTGTATTTTTTGCATTGGACATTTAAAAATTAAAACAGATAGAAATCCATGGTCAACACAGAATAGCAAATTGTGTCAAGGTCTGGAGTACCACTATTTGTACTTGGATCCCAATAATCATGTGTCTAAAAGTGAAGATGTCCAAAGCTGGGACACTAAAAACATTCATCAAATGCATCATATATTTAATAATCTAATCAGGCCTAACATCCCAGGGGATCTCTTGACTCCTTCAAATGGTTAGTCATTGATTTTACTTAATAATGAAATTCCAATTATGTAGTGAGTCTGATTATGATATGACTTTGTAGTATCAGATATACAACTAAAGTGGAAAGACAATCACAGTGAGTGAAATTTTTCTCCTGTATCTTCCTCAATGCCTGAAGATCTAGAGATTGATGAAAGACATGTAAAAATTCTAGACAAATGGCAGTTTCTGTATGAAAGCTCTAGAGACCTTACAGAAATTTACATGGATCTTGAAAAAGAACTCAATTATAACCATAGATTCAGTTTGAAGGAAAGTAAACTCATACATCATAACCAATTACACTTGCTACACAAACTTCAGAAAATGTTGAACAAATTAGTGAGGATCAGCATCCTTGAACTAGCAAATTTGGGTTCAGATTCCTTGACTCCAAAGCTGAAGAAAGATTTAAAGCCATTAAAACCTGAGAATATGTCACAAGAAAGTAAAGGTTTTCTTCCTGGAACATCTTCCTCAAATGTAAAACACAAAGGAAATGAAATTTTGAATGAAGCAACAGGTTTTGTTACTAATTACAAAAGATTACTTAGGCTTCCTGACTTTGTTTTTGCCAGGGAAAAAAGCCACATAGTTTGCTATTCAATGAATATAATAGAATTCTTGTTCAAATCTGAATTTATAAATGAGGATGACATCAGAATAACATTTCAAGATGACACATTTCTGAGGGTTGCAAGTCTTTTCAACATTTTGAATTTGGAGAAAAAATTAAGCATTGATATATCAAGTGGATTGACAGCAGCTACTGAACAATGGTTTTGGACATTTGATTTCAAACTCTTCAGTGGTAAGATCATATCTTTTAAGCCAATTTTCAGATTCAAGTTGAGGATATTGATAAGTTTGATTGAAATTATTTTTTTACTTTAAGCACTTGAGCCAGAAAGAAAGTCAAGGATCAATTTTGAATGTTTAATTTCTTACTTCAACTTTTACTGTCATGAATATCATTACCTCTTAAAACCAAAAGACCTAGAAGTTTTCAATGCGATGTTTGGCTTGAATTATTCCCATGAAAACGTCAAAGCTTTTGCAGAGGGAAAAGAAATATCAGTGAACCAAGTAGATAATGAATTACTTTCTTTCCATCCAAAAACAGAATGTTTTGAAGATAAAACCATCCAGAAAAAATCAGAATACAATGATGATGATGAATTCACATTTTGGCCCAAGGAGAATGAAAAGCAAGAATTGAAAAGTGCTAGAAAACTTGTGAAAACTCTATTCAAAATCCATTTTAACAGAGAAAGCAAAATCATTGATCCTGAAATGATTCTTATTTCCAGATCGATTTGTGAAATTCTGGATTTCATCAATACAAAAGTCTTCCCAGGGATAATAATGGAAGTATTGTCCAATCATGAATACTTAGAAGACATATATAGGTCAATCTTGTTAGCTTCACGGATCCAATATTGTCACAATATGAAGATTGTATCCAAAAGGTTCATGAACAATTTCCCCAAACCACAAGGTCATTCTCTGCAAAGAATTGGCTCATTCCATGGATATTATAGCAATCAACTACATTATCTGCAGGCTGAATTCAACAAAACTTATTTGAGAATTGAAAACCTGAAGGGTGGCTCATTAAAATTATCCAAACTGGAAGATTACTTCTCCAAAATGCTTAGAAATACACTAGATGAGTGAAAAGATGAACCCATAACACTTTTAAACAAATTAGAGCAACTAATTTGGTTTAGTCAATTGAACACAACTTACAATGAGTCTTTGAAGAATAAACCAATACTTACAATAACAGGCTTTGGAATTTTCAATCCAAGAATCATTCTTCCTGTACCAAGAACTCCATCTATATTGACTAAGATTCATTGATAGTTTTTATCTGCTTCCAAGCTTACTTACCACTTATAATCGAGTGAAAAAAAAATTCATCATCTTGGATTTAGTTTTGCTTCCAAATCAAAGTTCTTCACTTACATTGTTTTTTTTTTGTTGCCTTTAGGCGCCAATTATAAACAACATTTTGGCAATTTTTTCGAAACGTTTTTGAAATGTTTTTGCATAGGGTTTTGGCTTTTTGAAAGCGCGGATTCTTGCACCAAAACATTTCTGAAACGATTTCAAAACGGGGTTGCAGTTATAAACATTTGCACCCTGCACCAGTCACAGGTCATCAAATGTGCTTGGACTCGCCTCCAGAAAGCCTCGCCCCACTGGTATCTTCACCCAAGTTGACCATAATGAAGACTCAAGACAACAACAAATGACCAAAACCAGGCGCGCGCAGGGGGGGGGGGGGGGAGAGAAGGAATATTTGCTTGGGAGACGGCTAGACCCTGTTGCTGACCCACCCGACCTGATTCCAAATTGATCTCGTCGAGACTTTGTGCGCTGTACTAGTCTACCACTGTATGGTACAGAGGTTCCACTCAATGGGGGTGTCAAATACACCTCCTGTTTGCCTGTAGTCAAAACGTGTCCAAAGGAGGTCCATGGGCTCCTTTGGACCCGTTTTGTTTTCGTTTTTTGCCAGATTCCTGACTATTTTGAAAATCAAAATGTTTGTAAAACGTTTTGGAAATATTTCCAAAACGATGTTTATAATTGGCACCTTATTCTCTTTATTCATGTTTTGGTCCCTTTTGGTGTGTAGTTTAGTTTGTTGTTTTATCCTTTTTTTGATGATTGAAACCGGTTTTTTAATTTTTTTCTCATTGAATTTTGAGTGACTTCTCCAATAATAATTCCCCATTAACAAATCCCTGCAGCAACATGAAAGCTGCGATGTCTCTTACAGGCCAGGGACGTCAGGGACTCTTGGCCAGATGAATCTGCCCCACTGTTGAGCCAGCACAGATTTTTGCAAAGTTGCTGTGCAATCGAAATTGGCCTTCTGCTTACCCTGATCTTGAACAGAGATTGGGTTTGAGTCGCATGATATTCCCTGTCAGCAAGTGACACCAAATTCATTATTCTTCATGGTGCTCACTGCCAGCTAGCCTGGATGGTTTGAGGTTCTCCTAGTTAATCTGGAATGCAATCAACCTTGTTACAATAGCTTGAGATCAATATTACATCAGCTCAATGCAGCCCCTTTGATTAACTTATAGGTTGAGTGCATCGCCAATTAACTGTGATACTTATCTCTCATGTTCTGATGACTGATCTCTGGTGATTTTGATCACTTAACATTTCTCGCAAGTTGTGATCAGTTATTCTTGCTCAGCCCGATGTTTTGAGAGGTCGTCTCTCCTGCTTGGATGAGTTATCGCTCATGAGGTGGTCACTCATCTCCCCTCTCACGTCTCGATGCAGGTCGTCTCACATACAAAAATGATGAACCACACGAGCCCAAAGTCAAGAAGACGAAACGTCTGTCTCAAATCAAGTTACCACTTAGCCGATGGGGGCCGCAGACTGAAGCCTCGCAGCTCAGACCAAACTATATATATGTATATAACTACCACAAAAAAAAAAAGAAGACAAAACAAGCGGGATGAAAAAAAAAAATAAACAAAGAGTAGGAGCCATAGAAGACTCATGCAAGAAAGGCAAGAAAGAAAAGAGAGAAGACACGAGGATGGAGCGCAGGACGATGGGGGATGATGACGGCCGATTTGATGGGACAAGCGACGGACGCAATATGTAGAGCCGGCAAGAAGATGGATCAGGAGAATGACGACGATCTGATTTCTCTTTCTTTCTCTCTCTATACAGATATATAAATCTATAACAAAGCCATTTTCTGGGATTGTTATTGATGAGGAAGGATCTCCAAGAATGAGAACCTAGGTGATCTTCGATTACGATTGAATTTCAACGATGAGAGTATATATAAGTATGGGATGGGAGGACGAGAGAACGACAAGGAGATGACGACTGATTAATGGACGAGAAGGCGAGGATTACAAGGTCTATCTATGTATGGAGTGCAATGAATCTCGGAGATGCGCGGTTTCTATCGTGACGATGTGGATGATGACGGTCATGGTGTCCGGCTCGATGGATTAATTCGCGGCTGATTATTAACTCAGACATGGGTGATAAGGGATCAGGGCTTTTTTGTATGCATGCATGTATGTAGACTTCATAATATAATAGGAAATCGTGAAAAAAAAAGGGAAAGAGTAGGAGATTTTTTTTTTCTTCTTTTTTTTTCGGTTTATAACTGCAATTGTTGGAATAAAATGACGAGATCAAAACGACTTTTTTTTTGAGATTTGATGAATTAATTATTTGAAAAAGAGGATAAGTTTTTTTGGGGGGGGTGGGGGGGGCGGAGAAGTTAATATATAATAACGAGAAAAGATCAACTAAAAGAAGTGCGACGAGTTCTGGAGCTGGGTCCATCGAGGGGGTTTTTAAGGATAGAAGCGGATCTGGGTCTGGGTGCGATCGAGGAAGGTTTCCTGAGCAAAGCGGGCTCGTTTCCAGGATGGCCATTGATAGTAGTAGGATGACCGGGGCAATTTAAATGAGCCGAGGAGGGCCTTCGTCCCAAGTTCGTCGAGGCGCCCGCGGGATGATGATGATGATGTTGATGATGATGCTGATGATGATCGGACGGGGGTTCTAAGGAAACTCGGCGCGAACTCGGCCGATAAACGCTCTCGAAACTCTCGTCGGTTTGATAGATCTTACTCGCCGAACTTCGGCCTGATTCGAGCTGAGGGAACTGCAGCTCATTTGATCTCAGTATCCTCAACTTTCGAAAAAATCGTATATATATATATATAGCCGACCGAGAGTGAGACAGAGAAAAAGAAAAAGACTTACACTAGGTCCTTCATATTTTTCTTTGAGTCTGATCATCCTACTCCAACCCTCTTCGACTTCGACTTTCAATTTCCTGATGGAGGAGAGCATGATCTTACGTTCGCGCTCATGCGCCTTACGTCCTCGTCT